TTTTACTGGGAAATTATTGGGAAAATGTGCTTTCTCTTATGTTTCTGCACTAGTAGGTTGGTTCAGTAATAAATATGTGAGGCCTTTAAAAAAAAAAGTTACACCTAGGAATTAATTTCCAGGAAATAACACACGATCCAAATCCCAGCTCCCCTGTTTCCTATCTGTGTGATTCAGGGCCAGCACGCGTACCTCTCCAGGGCAACACGGGGAGGATAAGGCTCACTGGTCACCATGCGAGATCAAATACAGGAAGGGCCAGCACAGCACGGTCTCAGTACTGTGGGCACCGCCTCCTCTCTGCCTCCTCCCCTCCCTGTGTGGCCAAACTGGATCATCTCAAGTTGGAGTAAATGATGAAAAACAAGATGTCGATAAGTCAGAAGAGGGAAGGGTTACCAAGTGTTACAAGGTAGAGAATGGCAAATGAGGGCAGAAGGGGGAAGACAGAGCACGGAAGGTCACTTCAGTGCAGCGATCTCTTCAGACAGCCAAAGATGTAGCGACCCCAGCCGGAATTAGGAAAGGCTTAACCGGTGTGGTCCCTACTGGGCTCCCCTGAGCCCTTCCAGTCCTCCTCCCTAAATGAGGGAGATTAGGGCTCACTTCCAAGGTCTCTACCGTTCCTCTGCTACATCACCCAGCAACTTCTCCACTTATAAAAAGCCAGGCTTTGGGTTGGCTAACAGGAACATAAAATGAAGATGAAGTCAGAATATTTGAAACCAGGCTGACTCTCTAGTACCAAGACCTAAAATTAATTAAGTCCTTAGCAGATGGGCTTAGCATAAGACACCACCCAAAGAATGTGTAAATCACGACGTGTTTGCATTTTAAAAGCTCTCTAGGCATCTCACTAACATCTCCCCTTCCCCACACTTTGCCTAAAACTGCAAAGCAAAAGAGGGTCTTTACAACAAACAGCAAAACAAGATAAATCTAGTATTTGGGAACTGAAGCCTGCTACATACTTTTCTGCAGATTGCAAAGAATTCAGTATCTGTATACAATGGATATTCTCTTAAGCATTGCTAGGAAATGGGTGTAAACTGTAGGAACCAGAGGAAATATATGGTTGGGGGAGAAACCTCTAGCAGGATCTTGCAAACAATAGGCACTTAGGAACTCTCTTCCCCTCCCTTCCCAAGAGAGACCTGGCTCAGCTTTAAGAGGGGACCTCAAATTCTGGGGGGAAAACTTAAGAACCATCACAATTTACAAAATGGATAACCAGTGCTGGAAAACTGATCTACCTTAGCAATTCCTACTCTTAAAAACATCTACCCTCCCCCACCAAAAAAAAGGAATATTGTGTCGTCTGCAACATGGAGTCCAGATATAAGTAAAATGCCACAGATTCTAGCTCATCTGGCACATCTCAGCAGAAATCTAAGCATGTCATGCTGAAAGGTGTCAGGCGTTGAAAACTCGGGCAGGCCACATGTTGCAGTTAGAGAACAAAACAGCACACTTCCCAAGAATGCCATGGTTTAATCACTCAGGGTTTACAAACATTTCGCAATTTGCCATTAGCGCCAGGATTTTAGTTTGCATGATGAAACTGCCCAAGTGGTAGCTTCAGCATGAGCACAATTTATTAATGTCTATAAGGCACTCCATTATGGCGGGTACATGAGTCTTTATCGAACTCTATTTTGATGTGGCTCCTGCATTTCAGAAGTACATACTTTTTTTCTTTTTTATTCAATAAAACCATGTTCCCAGCACCCAGGCTCTGGAGATAGAAAATGAGCAAAATACTGACCTTGCTGTCCAGGCATTCACAATCGATACAGTGTTTTGGTAAGTTCATGTCCTCTTAATTCTCTATTTACATATTTACTCATTAGCATTTATTCGCTCAAGCACTGGTCAAACATTTCCATGCCATAAATCATACCATTATTTCTCTCTAAATAAGCATTTTGTTAACAATTATCTAACAGCAACCAGTTGGTGTGGAATGGTGCAGGACCGGATTAATTTAAATGCAAAATGTGTCCTAATAAACTCAAACTGCCATCCGTATTTACTGAAACCTATGCCTCAGGGGCAACAGCCCTCCCAAGGTTAGAACCAACAAAATCCCTGGAGACAGTGCCCAGTGCCTCTCACAGTTCACTCCAAAAAGGGGGAACTGTGCTCATTCACCTAAAGCAGTTTTAACCTAATAGGCCTTGACGTTTGGTTTTCACACCTAGAAGAATCCAATAAAGTAGCAAGTGTGCCTGAAATCTTTTAAGTATGTTTGGATGTGTAACTCCACCACTACCTCTATTCCCCTCCTCAAGTTCCACATTGAAAAAGAATCTTTCAAATAGCATTTTCCTAAAATTCTGGGTGTAATTCTGTTTCTACCAAGTTGATCTTGCATAATTAACTATGGAGTATCATGGTATCAGGCTCCTGACTGGTGGGAGTCAGAGAAGTGGGGTGCAGTCTGATATTGTCACTAACAAGGTATATATGCCATTGGTCAAGTCACTCACTTATATAGGCCGACAGATTGCCAAATCCCTTATTTTAAATACAAAATGAAGGCAATGCTATCTTTTATCTCAGTAAGAACAGAGAAAGGCAACTGCCAGGGTCTTGATATATGCCCCCCAAAAAACAGGATCTTATAAACACTTGGATGACAGCTTTCCAATAGAATAGAGATCCTTCCTTTTTATCCTGGTGACTCTCTGCAGGCATGTAGAAAGAGACATAGCCCATGTCTTCTTCTGAAATTTACTAAGGAACAATCCTGATGCCCAAGTTTACCCCAAAGGAAAATATGACTGTATTAAAAAAATGGGAAAACACTCGTGAACATAATCTATTTGGGACACGTTCTTTCCAGCCTCACATTGAGCTGATTCTGTGAGAAGTACATATTTGCTTTTCTCCTGCAGCTGCCCTTGGAGTCACAGGTCTGAGTTTCTGCAGCCCCACCCCATCTCTTAACGCAGCCAAAGAACACTGCAGTAACTGACCCAACAGTGCTGGAATCTGCCTGGGGGACGACAGCAAATGTTCAGAAAGTGGCACCTGCCAAGCCGCCCCTCCAAACAACCCTGAGCCCACACTTTCATTTAAGGGAGTCCCTCCAACTCTCCCCTCCCCAGCCTATGCCCTAGTGAGGGATGCAATGCAATGTTATCAAACCCATTTTCTCACTCATTTACAGAGTGAGATCTAAGCAAGAAATAGAGACGCTTCCTGCCTGATAAACTTAGAAAACAATCTACCACAACTTTAAAATGTCCTTTGGGTTTTCTGGAATTTCACTGGAGGGCAGTATTCATTAGTAATGTTCAGAAAATGCAAAGACAGAAGGTTTTACATGGAAAAATAAATACATTTTTTAAATGTTGGAGAGTGAGGAGACAGAACTCTTTGACCAACCTTCCCTGGTTTTCTGTACAATGGTTATCATAAATACCAATGGACACCTGAAAATGGCAAAACTGGGACTTCAGCGAGCAAAAGTGAGATACTAGACTATTTGCAGGGGGAAAAAATAGAAAGAGCTATCCCTTATTGAGCACCTACTACATGCCAGGCAGTATGCTGAGTACTACATATATACCAGCATAGCTAAATGTCAGAAAACCTAAGAAGCAAAGCTCTTCTGCCTCACTTTTCAAGTGATAAAACTGCAGATCAGAGAGGTTAAAAAGATTGGCCAAGGTCATGTAGTCCGTCAATGGGAGAGCTGGGATTTGCCCCAGGCTAAATCACTCTAAAGGCCAAGAGCTTCAACACTCAAAAAACAGTGCACTGTTCATCATGCCCAGAGAGGAGGTTCTTTCTAAAAACTACCCCTTCTATTTGAAAAATAAAAGATCCAAAGTAAACCTAGAGCCTTTTCCAATAATCTACACAACTACCAATCCCAAATCTCTAAACTAAAATTTACATTTTACGTGTGGATTACCATGTCTGACTGTTAATTACCCCCCCACAGCTGATCCCAGGCTACCTGCCCACCAACTGCTCTACTAAAGCAAATCTACTAATAGCCCCAGGCAGCGAACCCTGTGCAAGTTCAAGCTTCATCCAACGTGCAGAACTATTTTTCAGAAATTATGCCAAACCCATGGGCGGTATGAAAACATTACTGGACATTTCAAAATACATGACAACACAGATTTAGCAAAGTCAGTCCCATTGTTTTTAGTCCCAAACATATAACAACAAACACCCTGTAATTCTACAAGTTGAAAACTGCAAGCAGACGACTCAGTAAACTTTTTGGTGGTTCTGAGGAAGATGTGGTTGTTTTTCTCTCATGGTCAGGCAACAAATGGTGAGGAGGTAAACATCAGTTAACCCAGCCTCCTCCCAACTCCAACTGTGAAAGAACACCAGTCAAATACTATTTATTTACATTTACTCTTTGAAGGACTCTTTCCAGCCTGTTCCAACTTCTCAGCAGGTGTCCCAGATTAAACTGTTGACTATCACCCGATGGTTAAAAAAATAATAATAAATCTTTGATGTGATCTGTGGCTGGTTATTTTTTAATTAGGGATTGAAATCCTATACCGTGTGTATGTAACCCCCTAAGAACTGGAGCCCGAGAAGAACGACTCCGAGGAGCGGGCGTGCCAAGTCGGCGCGCGCGAGGGGAGCCCCTGGGCCGCCGAGGGGCTGCCCTGCCCCGCGGGCCCGCGACCGTCCCTTCCCGCGCCTCGCTCGCTCCAGGTAACTCACCAGGATGCCCATCACATCGGTCCAGAGCCGGGAGAACGCCTCCGACATGCCGGCGCCCGTCTCGGGCTCCGGCGCGGGCTGGGGCTCTGGTCCCGGGCCGGCTGCTCCCGCGTCCTCCATGGCCGCGTCCCGCACGCTGGCCCGCGCGTCCCGGTCCCTGGGGCACCTTCGCCCCGCACCAGCGCACGGCCGGCCCCCAGCGCCGGGTCCCCGCCCGCCGCGTCACGGAGCCGCGCCCCCGCGCCGCATCCCCCAGCCGCCCCGGCGACCCCACGGGGGCCCCTCGCAGGCGCCCGCACCTCGGCTCTAGGTGGCAGCGGGCGGCGCGACTGACAACTTCAGAAACTTTCCCACCCGGGCTCCGCACCGCCACAGGGCAGCCGAAGGCAAAGTTCGCACCACTGAGGGTGACGGCGGGGATTTCTGGCGGCTGAGACGCAATTAAACCCGCTGCAAAGGCGTTTCTTCCTGTGACGGGGACCGACTCAGGAAGGCACGCGACTCACTCCTGCCAGCACGGCCGAGCAGGGCCCCGCGGGGGCGAGCGCAGGGCCTCTGGAGCCGGGAAGGCATTCCCCGGGACCCCTCTCTTCAAAATGAGCTCTTCCAGCTCCACATGACTCTCTCCCCTCGAAGCTACAGAAAGCGTTTAAGCAACAAAAGGTGCTCTGATGTCGGGCTCTTTGCATGGAAATGAGCCACAGACAGGAGAACAAATCGCCTGTTGAAAGAGCAGCGGCGCTGCAGGCTCCCGCCAGCACAAGTTTCCAATCACGCTCTTCACCGAAACATTTTGATCACAGAAACCCGGAGAAGTTCATCTTTAAGCTACTCCCGGCCGAAAGAGTTCACAAGGAGTGTCGTTACAAATCCACACACCTCGCCCCTCGGGGAGTCAAGCGATCTAAGGAATTACAACTCGGCCTCTGTCAGCCAAGACCTGGGTTGGAAAACAAGTGTGAAATCTTGGGCACGAGCCATTGTTTGTATCGTTTCCATTAAGAGTGGGGACATTTTGGTTCCTGGGCGCCCGCTCTGCTAGGGGTTACAAGTAATTAAGGGAAGTGCACTTCGGGTTTTAGTGGTTCCTTTACAGCAAGGGCATAGGGAAGGATTGTTCTCAAAACTAAATGTGATGGCTGTAGCCATTTAGCCAATCCACACTTGGGGCCCTGTGTGTGTTTTTCCAAGGACAAGATCCATGACAGATTTATTTTATGAGGGAAATAGCCCTGTAGTGGTATTTCCCCTTTTGTGATTCTTTGAAAACCACTCAGAGCATTTTCCCTGGAAGATGACAATACATGTGACATTGATTTGGTGATTGATCACTGTGAAACAGTTTAGAAACCGGCCCTTATATTAAAGAGCTGAGGGGTGGAAAAAAGCAGGTGAGGTGCCCCAGGGAGAGCCTTGCTTGTTTTAGAGGGCTCTCCTGACCATTCTTCTGAGCTCAACATAAAAGGGGATAAGACGATGTCCTTGAAATCCCCTTAATAAAGCATGAATTACTGGGATAACTATCAATGCAAATGGAAGAATAACCCTCACAGAAAAGTTCAAAATGTGAAAACTTGTTAAAAAGTAATTAAATGTATTAAGCATAATCCTCGATGACACTATTTTTGAAATGAAAAAGTTTTCCCTTGATAATAAGGAGGTATTGTGTTGAGGTAGAAAGAACACAGGACACTAAATTAGCATGACCAGCATGACCTGGTGCTCTCTTATGATGATGCCAGAGTTAGGCCAGATGCATGCTCTAAGATGCTCGGAAGACAAGTAAGTTCAGTTAAGGCAGTGGTACGCTTATTATTATTATTATTATTATTATTATTATTATTACATCTATAAAGACATGAAAATAAGTACTTGATGGGAAAAGGTAAAATAAACTTTTAGAGTTGATTTTACTGGTATATTTAAGAATTTTTTTTAAGATTTTTTTTATTTTTTATTGGGAGATGNTTCTCTGACCTAGTATTTAGATTCCCAGGAATTTATCCTAGTAAATTGTTGGGAAGAAATAAAGAGCTCTGTGCTCAGAGGCTTATTATTGCATTTGTTATAATATGGAAAATTTGGAAAGATGCTTCTTATTCCACAAGAGAAACACGTTCGAATAAATGATACTGATAAAATAATATCTACTGATTAAAATGGTAATATAAAGAACATGTAACAGCATAAGAAAATATCCTCTGCATGAGAAACTTAACTCTGAGAAATTAGAAGTGCATACGCACATCGACAGGATAACTTGCAAACATGCTATGCCAGTGCTTGCAATATAGTAGGAGCTCAGTAAGTATTTTTTGAACAAAGAAATGAATGGAAAATAAAAACTGGTGATGCATTAGGATGGTGGGATTTGAATCCAATTATCATTGAACAATTTTCTATGCTATTACCCTGTTGTTTAATGATAAACACAATTAATGTTAATAGCTAACATTGATTATGTATAGACACTATCCTATATATTATATATTTTGTAATGCTACCTATTCATCATCTTCAAAAACATGCCTGCTATATTTTCATCTCCAGATTCAAGCCTTCATGGAGCCAAATTTAATGCCAGCCAGACACAGGAGTGCTCTAAGAGTCTGATGGATGGGTGGATGAATGAATGAATGAATGAATGAATGCGTCAATGAATGAGAGTTGTAGAGACTGAAGCCCTTGCTACTAGTGCCTTAGACCACAAGGTCTCTGGTGTGAGGCATGGGCAGGAATTCTCAGAACTCACTCACAGACCTATATTCTCTATGTAAATAGTTACAAGAATTGGAAGGACTGAGTTCCTGAAGCTGAAAGACAAAGAAAGCGTTCTTCTCAAAACCCCTTCTCAGAAAGCATAACCTTTTACATTACTTATGATAATTCTTGAATGCCTCATTGTTAAGCCGTGGAATGTGCTGTGAAATGTTTACGTATTGCAGCATTTCCAAAAAGGAACAGGAATGCACTATGGCAAATTTTTAAGATAATGGAACCTGAAGGGGTCCAGCGTCCAATAAAAGCAAGCAGGAGCTGTTGGGAGTCACATTTTAAACAGGTTTTCTCAATATTTCCTCAAACCTCCTTCCTAATAACAAATATGCAGGATCTTTTGATCTACCCATAGTGTTGAACTTTCCTGGTTTTGCAGGTTTGATCATCAACATGGTGTCACAGATTAACAAGAGCTCTTTATTGGACCAAATTTTATCGTTGGCTTATGCATGCCCAGGTTCCTTGGAGACCATTGGAATTACTCGTCTGCATCCAAGAGAAGTATTTAGTCTTTGGTTAGCAACACAAACAATTTTGCTCTTGATTTTTTTGGATACAGAGTCTACCTTCATTACTATTCATCTCAAGCTTTCCACTAAGATATACTATTTCTGAAGTTGTGCTATGCCGTTAACTATCCCTTCCCTTTCCAGCTGATTCAGAAGGAAGTTCTGTCAGCCAGAAGCCATGTCTGATCACGATTATACTCGAGGCACAAATGGCAGTATTTTTGAGCGCAGCCCTCTTGGGGATTCTACGTCAGTGGCTAACATGACATAAACAGCCTCACTTTGCTCTTACGCATACATATACTCAAAATACACACCTCTGCCCATAATTCTATAATTCCCGTCTATACCAGAGCTTGGGCACCTCGGAAAAGCAATAATAAATTGGACCTAAATCAGTCCAGCATATGGTGGCTGGTTTCTCCTAGAAATATTTATAACTCATAAAGGAACGCCCACAAAACAGTTCATGAACCAGTGGTGCCAAATGTCACTCACTCTCTTGCTCTATAAAATAAGTTTCAGTGCCTACAAGAGGAAAAATTGAGCGTCCAAATGCACAGCGCCCAGGGTTTCCTGAGAGCTGTCTTCTAATCATGGAGGCATGATGGGCATGCCAATGAATCTGGGCACCCAGCCTGGAAGTGGGCCGTGTGCCGCTTGATGCTAATAACAGCATGACATATATCTATGCCCTGTACCCACTTACTTTGTCCCTGGCTGGAATACATGAACTTTTTTTATTGGTGCTATTATCATCATATCCTGTCTAGACTGAAAACAGCTACAGAGCAGCTTCCTTCATAGTCAGTCAATAGAAAATAAAGAGGCTCTGCCCCGCAGTGCCTCCGCCTGGGCCTCTGGTGGGTTTCCACTCAGCCTCGCCCATCTAAAAACAGGAGAAGCAGAGGGAAAACCTCTGTGGAAGCTGCTGACAACTGGAAAAGCCTAGATAAGAGTAAAGCTTGACGTTCAATAGTAAACATGGTTATCTGACTCCAATAATATTGTATTTGAAGTAAATAACTTGGGAAAATAAGGAACGTTTAAAATCAGGCGAGGCAGAAGTCATGTTAGGACTGTTTTGATTCTGGTTTGAAAACACTGGTGTGCCAGGAAATCACTGAACAAAAGGACTACTGTGTCCACAGAGCTGTGAGGGGGAAGAATCTACTATGTGCAGAGCAAGGGTTGGGGAAGGCAGACATGTCCAGGGGTGTGGCAGCTATTCATATTTCTGAGACTTTGACAGGCCAAGATGTTCAACCAAGGTAAGAACATCCTTTAAACTTAAAATATAGCTCGAATGTATGTAACACTGATCAATCAGTGGGGTGACTTGCATCAGAAAAAGAAGCCAAAACTGTCCACTTAAGGATTCATCAAAGCATGAAGGTTGTTGTTGAGCACATGGACCTGGGCTTCAGACGTACCAAGTTCAACTTTCAGCAAATATTCTCTAAGCCTCACTTTCTTTAATTACAACATGGGGTTAATGATCATGTCTATGATGTAGTGTTGATGAGAGGAATATATGAGATAGTTTGCAAAGAACTTGACCCTCAGAGTGGCACATAATAAATGATCAATAAAAATATATTAGCTACTTTGATTATTATATTGTAGAAAAGCACTTAATACAATATCTACCTGGCATAAAGGGAGCGCTGAATAAATGATAATAGTGGTTATTAAGATTTTCATTTCAATTCTGTTGAATACTAATGATAAATAGAAACCCATCTAATCCCTTGAATGTTTGCAGATCATTAACTGCTTTTTAAAAAATTATACATACTCATTAGTAGATGTGGGGCTTAAAAGAGAATAAGGTATTCTATATCCAACCACTCCTTCTTGTTCCCCCTCTTGAGCTAAGGATGCAGTAATGATGTTGGGTGGACAAGAGAGAAGGAAAACAGAAGAGAATCAAATTCCAAAATTTGTTTGAGGGCCTAAAATGAAAACGTATGCCATTGATTAGAGGGAAATGACCATGAATGTCTTAGAAATAACCCCTAACGCCAGCACAAAATAACACACTCAGCAGGCCCTGTAAAGTCCTCATTACCATACAAATTGTTTTCAAGTCTGATCTAATAGGATATGATTAATAATTGGGATTTGTTTTCTTCCAAGAAGCTGCACGACTGATGGGAATCCCATACCGTTTAAAAGACACTTCCTAAACCAATCAAGAAAGCGTTTTCTGCCTTGTATCGTAGAAAGAAAAGTCTTCTAATTAGTGTGCAGGGTCCTCAAGGATGCTGAGGGAGGAAGTGTGTGGTTGTAGTCTTGGCATTGCATGTGTTCACTACAGGAAGTGGGGCTGCATCGACTCACCAGATGGCTTCTAAAATGAGAACTGCAAAAATTATGGCTGTCCAGGGACAGGTCTTCCAAGTCCATGTTGTGTGTGCTCTGATTAGAATACCTGGTAAGCACCACGGACCTCTTTGGCTCCTTTGTAGCCCCTCCCACTTCCTCTCTGGACCATTTCTGGTATAAATTTAATACAACCTGAATTGCTTATGAAAATCTAGGGAGGAAAACACAGCTTATGCTCAAGGTAATTTTCAGGGGAACAAGGTTGCCTTTTTCACGTTGTCCAAAATTCAGAACTGTGCAAAGAGGAGGAAAGGGTTGGCACATTAAGGGAAATAAAACCAGAGAAATAAGGCCTTTGATGAAGAGGTAACAACAGGGTGCTCTAACCAGATGACACAAATTCAGCTCTCACTTCTCAGTCAGAAGGAACAGGTAGCATTGTCTGATTCCATTGCCCACCCTACACCAGGCATGCAGCCGCGCATGTGCAGCCCCCAAGGCCCCGGTCAATTAGAAACATTAAAATGACATCCCATCTGTTCTACAAATGTCAGTGAGCTCATGCCACCTGTTGAGGAGTTGTGGGGACAGTAGAAGGGCAAAGAGTCTTGACACAGGTTTGTGTGCTTATACAAAGAGTCACTTCACTCAATTCTCACCCTCTACTGCCAATCTCAAGTTCCCTTCTTCACCAGAAATCTTTTGAATGGTTTTGTAGTGGTATTTTGCACCCAGAAGAATGTTAGTTGTGTTAAATACCATGTCCCAAGAGGCACAGGGCATTGAAAAATATGCATTATGCCTCAAATAGTAAAAACATTAATAGCTTGAAGTTATTTTTGAACCATTCTCCTGATGTATTCACAAATAAACATGAAGAAAAGCTGCAGCCAAGGGTTTTAAATTTGAGCTGAAAATGAATTTTTCTCAAGGTGAATCTAAGATACTAGAAAGGGTATAGAGGAGAATATAAAGCCTTTTCCCAAAGATCTGGACATTAAGATAGTACGTCAGAATCAGGATGTCATGTCCGCTTACGTGAGCTTCCATCCATCTTCCCAGCCTCTGCTAATGTATTGGGTTGTCGGGAAAGTCATGACGCATTTTTGCAGTGAAAAACATAGAAAAAATACGTCATGACTTTTCCAACAACACAAAAGTTTCTCTTTCTGCAATATGTAAGTAAGTCCAAGTTTGAGGTCTGGTGCAATGGGTGTCACCTTTATCTGCTACTAAT